ACTAGCTGTTGACTGGGAACACTCTGAGAACCAATTTCTCAGATGCCAGCCAAAGGCCAACTTTGCAGGCTGGGCACGGTGGCTTACGCCTGTAATCCTAGCTCTCTGGGAGGCCGAGGTGGGCGGATTGCTCAAGGTCAGGAGTTCGAAACCAGCTCTGAGCAAGAGGAAGACCCCGTCTCTACTATAAATAGAAAGAAATTAATTGGCTCACTAATATATATATATATATAGAAAAAATTAGCCAGGCATGGTGGCACATGCCTGTAGTCCTAGCTACTCGGGAGGCTGAGGCAGAAGGATTGCTAGAGTTCAGGAGTTTGAGGTTGCTGTGAGCTAGGTTGATGCCATGGCACTCACTCTAGCCTGGGCAACAAAGCGAGACTCTGTCTCAAAAAAAAAAAAAAAAAAAAGACCAACCTTGCAAGTAGATCTTTCTAAGGACAGCAACCTCAGGTCTGCTATAGTAACTCTTCTTCACAGTCATATGAAAATTCATGTTTCTAGTTTATCTTGAAAAGAACTGGAATATCTGGCCATACTAGGTCTGCATTCCCATTTAGCAAGCCTGGTAGGCAGAATGCCACCATCCCCTCAAGATGTCCACATCCTAATCCTTGGAACCTGTGATTATATTACCTTATATGGCAAAAGACTTTGCAGATGTGATTAAGGTAAGGATCTTGAGATGGGAAGATTATCCTGGATTATCCAGATGGACCCAATGTAATCACTAGGGTCTTTATTTTTTTATTTTTATTTTTATTTTTTTTTTTGAGACAGAGTCTCGCTTTGTTGCCCAGGCTAGAGTGAGTGCCGTGGCGTCAGCCTAGCTCACAGCAACCTCAAACTCCTGGGCTCAAGCAATCCTCCTGCCTCAGCCTCCCGAGTAGCTGGGACTACAGGCATGCGCCACCATGCCCGGCTAATTTTTTATATATATATCAGTTGGCCAATTAATTTCTTTCTATTTAAAGTAGAGACGGGGTCTCGCTCTTGCTCAGGCTGGTTTTGAACTCCTGACCTTGAGCAATCCGCCCGCCTCGGCCTCCCAAGAGCTAGGATTACAGGCGTGAGCCACAGCGCCTGGCCATCACTAGGGTCTTTATAAGTGAAAGAGGGAGGCAGGAAGGTCAGAGTCAAACAAGAGGTCAGAAGCAGAGGTCAATGTGCTGTGATTGTTGGCTTTGAAGATGAATTGAAGCCATGAGTCCGGGAATGTGGGCAGCCTCTAGAAGATGGACAGGGCAAGGAACAGATTCTCCCCTTGAATTTCCAGAAGGAAGATAACCTGCCAACACCTTGGTTTTAGCTCTTGGGGCACTTGGGGAGCTCTGCCACAGCCAGCACTAGCATGTCCTCTGCTTTACTGCCAACCCAGATACTTCTCACCACTATCCCCCCATTCCTGGAGGCCTGCAGTAGCCTCCTACCCAGCTTCCTCCTTCTACACTTGAATTCCTAGAATGCATTCTCCACAGCAGCTGCAGTGATCTCTTTAAAACACAAACTAGGCATCAATGCTTGCTTAAAAACCTCCATTGCACTTATAATAAAGCCATCTGCCTCTGTGATCTCCTCTTGTACCTCTCTCTCTCTCTCTCTCTCTCTCTCTCTCTCTCTCTCTCTCTCTCTCTCCACTCTGTTTCTTTGGACACACTGGGCTTGCTTCTACTTGTGAAATTTTGCACTGGAATTTTCTCTGCCTGGAGCACTAATTTCCAGATATTGCCTGGCTTAGTCCTCATTATTCAGGTCTCAGTTCAAATATTATCTCCTTAGAAAGCTGCTCCTTCTCTGTTCAGTCTAAAATAGTAGCTATCCCCCTACCAACTTTCTGGCCTATTATCTAGGGTTTTTTGGTTTTGTTTTTTTAGAGTAGAGGTATCTGTCACCCAGACTGGAGTGCAGTGGCAAGATCATAACTCACTGCAGCCTCAGACTCTTCGGGTCAAGTGATCTTCCTGCCTCAGCCTCCCAAGTAGCTGGGACTACAGACATGCGCCACCATGCCCAGCTCCAGCTAGTCTTTAAAATGTTTTGCAGAGATAAGGTCTCACTATGTTGCTTAAGCTGGTCTCGTACTATTGGCCTCAAGTGATCCTCCTGCCTCAGCCTCCCAAAGTGCTGGGATTACAGATGCCGGCCACTGTGCCTGTCCTGTTTTGTTTTCTTCATATGCTTATTGCTATCTGAAATTTTCCTGTTTGTTTGTTTATTATCTGTCTTCCTCACAAAAGTGTAAGCTTCTCAAGAGCACAGAATTTTCTGCCCACCACTGTATCCCTGGCACCCGGAATAATGCTTGGCATATAGCAGGCACTCAAAAAATAACTGTTGGAGGAATTAAGAGTATTGACTACCTGTTATTTTATAATTTAAATACATGAATGTGCTTTTAAAATCTCAGCCTCTTTACTCTGCTTTACATAAGACATCTGCCTGCCATTAAGACAGTTTTCAGAGTTGGGGATGCCTAGGCTGACTGAGATGTCCAACTCCAAAGGCCAACTGGGGGACATGTAAGTGCTACAGAAGACAGTTTGGAGGCTAGGCGCAGTGGCTCACGCTTATAATCCTAGCACTCTGGGAGGCCGAGACAGGCGGATTGCTCTAGGCCAGGAATTCAAAACCAGCCTGAGCAAGAACGAGACCCAGTCTCTACTATAAATAGAAAGAAATTAATTGGCCAACTAATATATAGAAAAAATTAGCCGGGCACAGTGGCACATGCCTGTAGTCCCAGCTACTCAGGAGGCTGAGGCAGCAGGACTGCTTGAGCCCAGGAGTTTGAGGTTGCTGTGAGCTAGGCTGATGCCACGGCACTCACTCTAGCCTGGGCAACAAAGTAAGACTCTGTCTCAAAAAAAAAAAAAAAAAAAGGAAGAAGACAGTTTGGGGCCCAGTGGTCCATCTAGGCCCCAAGTCCCTCCATTTGGGCAATAATTCCTGAGGTATATGACTTCATGGACCAATCCACTGGGAGGCTGAACTTCCTTATCTTAGATGTGTTGGTTGGCTGTGTCCTCTCTCTGGGCTTCTTTGTTCCAGGTGAGAGAGAGAAGAGTTCTAACTTTGGAGACTTTAGTCCATGGACAAAGCCACAGTTAGCCATCTTGAAATTCTGGATCATTCCTGGCACACTGTGATGAGAGGGGCTCAGAAAAACCCCTCTCTCAAGCTAACTCCCCTACTGTGCACCACATTAGCAACTACCTCCTGGATAGAGTTGCTAGATAAAATACTTTATTTGTTCAATCTGGCACCCTTATTCTCTGGGAGAATGGCTGATGAAATGTATAGTAGTCCCACCTTATCCATAGATTCCATGACCCCCAGTGGATGCCTGAAATCTTGGATAGCACTAAACCCTATATACACTATTTTCTTCCTATACATGCATACCTATGATAAAGTTTAATTTATCAGTTAGGCATAGTAAGAGATTAACAACAGTAACTAATAATAAAATAGATAATTTTAACAATATTCCAGCATTGCTACTCTTGTATTTGGGGGCCATTATTAAGTAAAAATAAGGGTTCCTTGAACACAAGCACTGTGATATTGCCACAGTTGATCCGATAACTGACATTGCTACTATTAATAAGTGGCCAGAAGGTGGGGAGTGTCTACAGCATGGATGTGCTGGACAAAGGGATGTCCCAGCTGGAATGGAGCAGAATGGCATGAGATTGCATCACGCTACTCAGAACAGCGTGCTATTTAAAACCTATGAATTGTGAATTTCTGGGATTTTCCTTTGAATGTTATATTTTTGGACCATGGTTGACCAAGGGTAACTGAAACCATGGAACAAGAAACTGTGGGTAAGAAGGGACTACTGTAGTGTAGTTTCCAGCCACATTAGGCTTCATTTGAGGTTAGTGGTCATGCATTTGAAAGATCATTCAGCACAGTTCTGGGTTTTTCTATAGCCACTGTTTAGCTGGATGAGTGCAGGCACAGAGCTGATGAAGAAATGGATTTAACCAAGGTTGTGGTTTGGTCCAACAAGGATGCTGAAGCTGGGAAGGCAGGAGAGCTGAGGGGTATGCCAGGCAGTGACCCTGACTGGCCATGAAATTGAAGATTGGGAGGAGATAAGATACAGGAGGGGCTATAGGGCAGTGAACACTGTGTGGAAAGATGAGCCCCAGATGAATCTTAATTCCACCACCAATTAACCCCCATGTGACAGTGGGCATACACCAGAGACTTCAATTTCCTTTTCTCCATCATGAGAAAGGAAGGCCTCGCCTTGCCTACCTCACAGTCATGGAGGGACTCACAGGAAATAAGGAGCTGAGGTGCCTTAAGAACCATAATGCAGGATACAGATGCTACAGACTAACATTTTCATTGCAGAATTTTTCCTAAGGCCATAGGGAGACTTCTGTGGGGATGCAGGGCTGGGCTGGAGCAGTAATGACTTGCAGTCAGCTAGGGGAGAATTGCAATGGGCTAGGGGAGACATTTAAGAATAGCCTTGAGACCCTGCTCATCCTCTTGCTTTGCCTGTACAGAGCAACAGCAATTCTGATTAAGCACTTAAGAAAATCTACTTTGTTTGATCCTTACAATACTGTCTCTCCCCATCGTACAGATGAGAGAACTGAGGCAAAAAGAAGTGACGTGCTAGTAGGTATTAGAGATGGGGCTAAATCCTACATTCCAGGATGATCAGAGTTTCCAGCCAGAATGCCCTCAGGCCCCATCTCTGGCCCCAGACTCATTATTTCTGGATCACTGCAGACATCTTAGTCCCACCCACACTCCACTTCCAGCCCCAAGCCCAGGTGGTGGCAGCAGTGCTGGAACAGAGGCTTGATTTCTAAATCCTCTTCCACCTGGGAAGTCTAGGCTGCGCCACCAGGAAATAGGACGTGTGACTGCCAATAAACCCCATGTGCCCAGGGGCCTGGGTACTTGTGCAGGTTACTAGCCCTGGCCACTCCTCTGCCCGCCCCACCTGGCTTCCACTTCCTACTGCTCTGAAACTGAGTCAACAAGTCTACCCTCCAGGGCCCTGAGCTGACCAGAGAGTATAAGGAGGCTGGCCAGGCGGCCTCGGGAGCAGCAGATAGACAGACAGAGGACCCCAGCCTGCTGCCATCCAGACAGCATGGTGAGCAGAGGTGAGGGGAAGAGCAGGCAAGGAGGGTCCCAGGGAGCCCAAGATGTCTAGTGGGGGGGGTTTCGGGAGTCCAGATGCTCATTGGGGCTACAGTGTGTGGTGAGGTGGGAAGAGGGGAACGGACTTCCAGATGTGAGCATGGCCCCCGAGTGTGCTGGCACGGGGGGCACACACCCACCGAGGAGGGGATGGAAGGTGGGTGGTAACCAGGGTGTGAGGCTGGACTCTGAGTTTAGGGTTGCAGAGTGTGGGGTAAGCAGGACTTGCACAGGGTGTGTAGGCACTTTATGGGCTAAATCTCCAAACGTTGGGTCCTGCCGCAGGTTCACGGTTGGGCTCTGGGGACACATCCCCTCCATGGAGGCTGGGGGGGGAGGTTTTTCCCTCTGCCCATCTGCTGCACCCCTTGTTCCAGTTACAGATCAGCGGAGAGACTGGGGGCAGGAGGGAGAGGGAGGTGCGCCCATCCACGGAGAGCTGGCTGTGTGCGGGCTCATTTGATACCTTTCCCTGTCTCCCCACCAGGCCTGACAGGAGAGCGGTTAAGAGCATAGTTGGTGCTGGGCTGTCCCTGCTCTGAATATTCCTGGTTTTGTTCTCGACCTTAGGCAAGCTGCTTAACCTCTCTGAGGGTCAGTTTCCTCATCTCTGAAATGGGGGGAGAAAAAGCACCTACCTAAGGGGATTGTTGTAAAGATTAAATCAGATAACGTAAGTGAAGCACCCTAGCACAGTGTCTGACATCTAATTAGTGCTTAATAAAGGGGAACTACACAATGCAACAACAAAGTCTGCCAGGTATGAGATTATTCTATCTTTACCATCAAGACAAAGGCACTAGGGAAGCTGAGGCACAGTAACTTGTTCCTGGTCACAGAGGGACAGGGATTTGAGGCCAGGTCTGTGTGACTCCAGAGGCTGAGCTCTTTGCTCCAAACCTGCTGCCCCACAGTATGGGGCATCGTCCCTAAGAGGGATCCCTTGCATAAACCAGCAGTTCCAGAGCCCAGGACGAAGTCTGGCTCTGTGGACGGAGCCTGGGCAGCTCAGAGGTGCAGCAGCCGGCGCTGGCCTTGCTGGGTAACTGGAAGTCAAGTCAGCCTTCCCTCCTGGACCTGGGATTTCTTAGGTCCTTGAACCTCTCCCAGTTCAACTCATTACCATCTCTTACTATGACCCCAGGGATTGGGGGTGGGAAGTTGGTAGACAGACCCAACAAGTGTGGTCTAGAGAGACCCTTAAGTGTGTCAAGCAGTGGCCAGACACTTGCGTGCATTCTTTCATTTGCTCTTCATAGCCGTTCTAGGAGGGGCTCTCACTGCATTATTGCCCACATATCACAGGGGAGAACATCGACAAAGAGGTTAAGACTCCTGATCAAGACAAGTAGAGAAGTAATGGGGCTGGAATACAGATTGTTTAATGCATTAATCCTAGTCATCTAAAAATCTTAAGAAGGCTGGTCTGAGTGCCGTGGTGTCTACAACTAATTGATCACAACCAATTACAATTCCTTTGTTCCTTCTCCACTCCCACTGCTTCACTTGAATAGTCTTAAAAATAAATACATGAATAAAACATATAAATAAAAATAAAAATCATAAGAAGTCAAGGCACTTGTGTCAAAAAAAAGTCAGTGAAGTGTAACATTTATGGAGAAAGTATCCTCATTAAAGCATTATGAAATATTTCAGACATGAAAAAAGTATAAAGAACAATGTAACAAACAGCAACTACCAAAGCTTGAGAAGTAGAATCCCTCTCCAGCTGCCCCCACGTCTCTCTCCTACTGGAGAGAGCCATCATTCCAATTCCAGTGGTAATGTTTCCCATGCTTTCTTTACCTTTTTTGTTTGTTAGTTTGTGGTTTTGTTTTAGAGACACAGGTCTTGCTCTGTTGCCCAGGCTGGAGTACAGTAACGTCATCATAGCTCACTGCAACCTCCAATTCCTGCCCTCAAGCCATCCTCTCACCTCAGCCTTCTGAGTAGCTGGGATTACTGGTATATGCCACCACACCCAGCTGATTTTTCTATTTTTTGTAGAGAAGAGGGTCTTGTAATGTTGCTCAGGTTGGTCTCAAACTCCTAGCTTCAAGTGATCCTCCCACTTCAGCCACCCAAAGTGCTAGGATTACAGATGTGAGTCACCATATCCAGCCATTTCTTTGTAATATTTTCCTTTGCTTCCCTCACCAATGACTCCGAATTTCTTTCTGAACACAGCTGGGTTGATTATTGTGCTCTGCTAGATTCATCTGATCCCCTCAATGCCCCTCATTGATACACTTAGTCACTGAGCAAAACTGTATAATCTTAGAACTGCCTACATTTTTTGCTGCCCCAGAGGGTTTTGGTCCAGCCCTTAAAGCCAATGCCTGTTGGTCCTCAATGCCACCAGTAAATGTTTAGACACAGAGGTGGGACAAGGAGAGCAGAGTCCAGGAACCTTGGACCTCAGCCAGAGAACCACTAGAGGAAGGCAGGCAGGAACTGTGTCCAGGCATGATATGCTTCTCTCTGCTAAGGCTGTTCTCTGCCCTTTGCCGGCTCAGCATGAGTGCATCTCAGCCCACGTGGGGCAGGCTGGAGTGCAGGCTGGCTGGCGATGCCTGCTTGGAACATGGGATCCAACCAGATGCCCAGAGTCAAGACCATCGGGGGAGGGGACAACTCCTTCAACACCTTCTTTAGTGAAACCAGGAGTAGAAAACATGTGCTCCATGGGATGTTTGGAGCCCACAGTGATTGGTGAGTAATGATCAGTGTCTGCAATGGCTGTGTCCCCAGATACCACAGCAGGTCCTACTCCGGAACTGGAGAGCACTGGAACCTGTGGTTATGGCCTCCTAGTTGCTGCAGCCAATTATACAGACTGCATTCCAGGGAGGAGAATGGGGCCCAGGGGAGTAAGCAGGGAAGGAGGGAAAGTTTCCCCTAGAGGATGCAGCTGAAAACATGCCATCTTAGAGCCATCCCTGGGTGAGTGGACAGGCCAGGGGGTGAGGGCTCTGGCTCCATTCTTCCCTTGGCTAAACCTTCACCCCATGAAGTAGCAACTCTGTCACTGGGCACAGTGGCTTGCGCCCATAATCCCAGCTACTCAGGATACTGATGCGGGAGGATGGCTTGAGCGTAGGAGGTGGAGACCAGCCTGGGTGATATATCGAGACCCCCATCTCAAAATGTCTCAGACAACAACAGCAACAAGAAGAACAAGAAGCATCAACTCCCCTGCACTTCTGGGTGCCCACACTTGGGCTGTAATCAGGAAACCCTGGGGAGGAGGGAGGAAGAGGGAGGAGGAGGAAAGAGGGAGGAGGGAGGAGGAGGGAGAAGGAGGGAGGAGGAGGCAGCCTGCTGAGTTGTGCATGTGTGAAGTCAGGGGAGCCCCCACAGAGCTGCAGCAGGAGCCTGGTGAAGCTGAGAGGATCTAAATGAAGTGTCAGAGTAATCTGAGGCTCCTTAGCCCACTCTACAATCTGGAGGCTTGTCTCCTCCAGGCAGGAGGCTGGGGTACAGATAGTCCTGAAGCTGGCATTGAGGCAGAACAGTGGTACAGTGGCAGCAACAAAGGGGGACTGGCTGGGGACTGGGAGTTTACATCCCAGTGATCTCAATCAACACTCACCACTTTTTGATAAAGATAATTGACCTTTTTAAATCTCATGGTGTTATGTAAGCACAGCTTCAAGATGCCACTTCCAAATGATGGTGACCCTTAAATCCTTTCCTGTGGCCTTTCTATAACCCCTGCCGGGCTGGGGGGCTGGTTTAACCATTGGAGGTGTTGGAATCCAGGGCAATCCCCATCCCACCCCATCCCACCCCAGAAGAGATTCAGTTGTCAGTGTCACCCTCAGCTCTGTCCCTCTTGCACTCTCCTTTCCCTAGACTTGGTGTCACTTCTCAAGATTGGATGCTGGGAAGGCAACCCCAAAGTTAGCAACAGTCGGAAGCTGCTGTCACCCCCAGGGCTGGAGGAGCCAAAGGATGAGATGTGATGCCAGAGCCTTGGAGCTGGGACCATCAGGTGGGAGCTGGAACCACAGCAGGGCTACCCAGAAGGAGCTGGAGGGACCAAGGAAGAAGGGACATTTGGCAGGATTCAGAGCCATGGAGGAGACATAACCAGAGCCTGAGAAGCTACCTGATTTAGAGATACCCTGGCTTTCCCTTCCTCCTACCCTCAAAATCTAGCCAGTGGTTCCAATTGGCTGACCCTAGACAGCATCAAGATAGCAGGTGACACAGGGCAAAGGGCGAGCAGCCCTGCGGGACACAGAGCCGGAAGGTGGGGAAAAGATCTCGGAGAACAGGCAGGTCACTGCACATACCTGCGCTGGCCCTCGTGCTGGGGGCCACTCAGGGCCTGTGGGTGGTAAAGATGGAAATGGAGTGACCCTTTCCTTGTCTGACCCCATTGCCTGTCCCTGTCACTCATCTCAGCAATCACTTTGTAGTAAGTAGAGAGAGGATAGAGTGGAAGTAACAGGATGCTGGGGAGTTTAGAGAAGACAGGATGGGCGTGCCCAGCTTGGCAGTTTCCTCTGCTCTCCCAGAATTATTTTCCTCAACTCGTCTTTGAGGATTTAAGCTTATAGGGGAGGCTCTGTCCTAGGGAAGGAGAGGCTTGCAGGTGTGTGTGTGTGTGTGTGTGTGTGTGTGTGTGTGCGCGCGCGCATGTGCGCACGTGAGCGCAGTAGGGATGAGGGTAATGTAATTCAGAGGGTGTATTTACAATCCCATTTTGATTGAATAGCTCAGCTATATTCTCCAATTCTTTTTTTTTCCACTTAAAGGGCTCACTTTTAAACCTCAATCTGACTTCTGTCTCTCAACTGGTTTCAAATTTGGGAAGGGAAGAGGGGTTACTCTGGAAGCCTTTCAAACCCCCAGAAGTAGTTATCATTTACTGAGCACCTATTATGTGCTGGGCCCTGGATCCAATGACCTTATTTAATCCTGAGGGAAGTACAATTACTATTTTGTACTGTTCTGCATGATTCTGAAACAGAAGCTCATGGGAACAAGGCCTTGGTCTGTTTTCACTGTTCTACTCTCAGTGACCCAGATGTTGCCTGACATATCAGATGCTCAATACATATTTGTTGAATGAACTTGTTAAATGAATGCCTATTTTATAGAGGTGGAGACTGAGGCTCAAAGAGGTGATGTGACTTGTCCAAGCTTACCCAGCTAGTAAATGGAGGAGTCGGGGTTGAAATGCAGGCCAGAGCTTACGCCGCTGCCCGCCCTTTTCCTCAGGGGCCTTCACTTCTTGCCCACAGTGGTTCCAGACACCACTCCGACGCCACCTCTTCTGGGCCTGCCAGGTCTCCAGTGCCCAGTGACTCAGGTGTCTCGAGGGCAGGGAGGGGGTGACGCTTGACAGTGCCCTGCCCAGGCTCTGGGTGGAGGGCATCAAGGTGGGGTCCCAGCTGCTGGGTCTGAATGGGGGCAGAGGCTTCTTTGGGGCCAGATTTTGGGGCTGTCAGTGCCCCTGGGAAAGCATCCTTCAGCAACTCATAGGAGGTGGGGTGAAGGCCTGCCAGAGGGCAGGCGGGAGGTGGGGCCTTCACAGGCCAGGGTGGCTGGGTAACCAGAGAGGCAGCCCATGTCCCCTCCTGTCTGTTGTGCCAGCCAGCCCACCCTGGGCAGCTGTATGGCCATCTCTTCTGGGACCTTGTGAGGCCTTCCAGCTAGCAACCCTGCTGGCAGGCCCTGGCAGGCCTAGGTTGGACTGGGTGTGGGTGTGGGGAGGTGGCAACCCAGATCTCGTGCGGCAGCTGGGAGCACCACCCAGCCTGGCTCCTGGGGACTCCTTGGTGCAGGGGAATACTTTTATCCCTGACGCTCTTAAAGCCAGGGTGCATTTATCTCAAGCAGACACAAGACATAGGTTCCCAGCCTTAAGTTCTACCCAATAAATGTATTCCCTGGCCTCTGATGTGTCAGGAACATGCCTGCCTCCAAAGGTATCTTCTCACCATTCCCTCCTCCTGGAACACCACCCCCTGCTTGTCTGCCTGTTGACATTCCTTCCAGCTTAGGTCACAGCCATCCAGAACCTATTCAGCCCCAGGAGCTCTCCCTCCTCTGGAGTCCTTCAGCTCTTACTGTCTGCCTCTATTACTCACTTGGCACTCTGCACGGACTGCCTTGGTACAATAGCACTTGGCTTCTTATTGATGTCCTATTTCCTCAACTAGGTTTTTAAAAAGTATGTATTTGAACAGTTATTATGTGCACATGCTTCAGAATTCAAAAGGTATCCAAGAGATTTATGAACAAGGAAAATATCTCTTTCATCTTGTTCCTCTCTTGACAGCCACCACTGTTAATGTTTTTGTTAATGTTTCCTTCCAGAGACATCTACATGTATAACAGATGTCTATATATATATACACATCTACATATATCCCTTATCCGAAATGCTTAGGACCAGAAGTGTTTCGGACTTCGGAATATTTTGGATTTTGGGATATTCACATATACATAATGAGATCTCTCAGGGATGGGACCCCCCCAAGTCTAAACATGACATTCCTTTATGTTTCATATATATTTTATACACAGAGTCTGAAGGTAATTTTATATAATATTTCAAGTGACTTTTTGCTTGAAACACAGTTTGGGTATATGAGGTCAGGTGTGGAATTTTCCACTTGTGGTGTCATGTCAGTGCTCAAAAAATTTCAGATTTTGGAGCATTTCAGATTGTGGATTTTTGGATTAAGGATGTTCTACCTATACGACTGTGTGTATAACACATTTAGCATACACTTTGTCCTACATCTTGTTTTTGCACTTAACAATAGCTATGCCTCATTCTTTTTGGTGACAATATAATATTCCATTATATTGTGTACCATTATTTATTTGACCAGTCTTCTCTTAATAGGTATTTAGGCTGTTTCCAATCTTTTTTCTTTTCTTTTTTTTTTTTTTGAGACAGAGTCTCACTCTCTTGCCCTGGCTAAAGTGTGGTGGCATCAGCCTAGCTCAAAGCAATCTCAAAGTCCTGTGCTCAAGCAATCCTTCTATCTCAGCCTCCCTAGTACCTGGGACTACAGGCATGTGCCACCATGCTCGGCTAATTTTTTCTATATGTTTTTAGTTGGCCAATTAATTTCTTTCTATTTTTAGTAGAGACGGGGTCTCACTCTTGCTCAGGCTGGTCTCAAACTCCTGAGCTCAAACGATCCGCCTGCCTCGGCCTCCCGGAGTGCTAGGATTACAGGCATGAGCCACTGTGCCCAGCCTAGGCTGTTTCCAATCTTTTGCTATTAAAAAGAATGCTGTAACCCTTGAATATACTTCTTGACACATATATATAACCATAACTTCTTAGAATTGGAATTGCTGGGTCAAAGGTTATGCATCTTTCATTTTTGATGTACCCCATCTTGCTCTGTTTAGATGTTATACCAAATTAACTATTTTACCACTACCAATTTATGAGAATGCCTGTGCCCACAGTCTTGCCCATAAAATGTATTAAACTTTTTGATCTTTGTCAATCATCCAATAAGTGAAACAAAGTATTTTGTTGCAGCTCTTATTCATAATTCTCTTGTTATGAAGGTGATTGAGATTTTCATGTGTTTAAAATCCAGTGCTTCCTCTTCTGTGAGCTGTTTGTGCCCTTTACCCATTTAAAAATTGCTTTTTCTTTCATTAATTTGTTGCATTTTTTGGTGAACAAAGGAAATTAACCCTTTGTCTGCTAGATGTATTCCATATAATTTCCCTCAGTTGTCATTTGTCTGTGTCCCAACTAGATTTTCATCTCCTTGAACACAGGGACTGGAATTTAAACCTCTTTGTATTTCTATTCTTAACATAATATAACACCACATACATGGTAGGTGCTAGACAAATGTCTGTTAAAAGAAGCAAGAAGAAAAGGGCAGAGATTTGGAAGATTTTGGAGTCACCTAATCTAACCTACTCTTTCCTCTTATATCAAGCCTAAGCCTTGTCTTTGCCCTAGTCTTTGGGTCAGTCAGGACTCTAGTAAACAGCAGAAGCTAACTCTGGCAAATTTTAAAACACCGCTCCACCTACCTCCCAATTAGGGGTAGCACTGGGTACTGGGTAGCACACAGGATCAACGCAAAGGCCAGCAAACAGGGCTCAGCAAACATGCAGGCACCAAGGGAAGTGGGCATCCAGCACCACAGTCAAGGTTAGGGCACAGGACAGCCTGTGCAAGAGACGCCTATCCCCTCCATCCCCTGCAGTGACTCCCCAACTCAGGCACTGGGGTCAACATTTCCTCCTCCAGACAGCAGAGGTCGCTCTGTTGGCTCCATCGCCAGCAGCAGGGCTGCAGAAATGAATTCTCAACCGCCCCTGCTTCTCTGTGACTTGCTCTAGATTCGAAGTCCCAGTTGGAACACCCGATTGGCAGATATCATGTCTTCTGCCTGCCCCCTTAGAGCTGAAAAGTCTGGGAGAGCAAGCCTGTGGCTTTGTGGAAGGTGGCAGCTTGCCTCCCATTAGGGCCCATGCAACGGGAATTACACAGAAGTAGGCAGGGGCTTCAGATGGTGGGGGGCCAAGAAAACTGACAAGTGCACATCACCTTCTCTCATGTCCAGCTCCAGCCCTTCTCTTTGGTGAAGTAAGTGTTCCTGGGTCACCTAGCCTAAATTTACCTTTCTGGACTCACATAATCATTATTGCTTGAGCCAATCATGATGTCAGAGAGGATTGTACTAATAACGCTTACTATGTATTAATACTATGTCTCCTCTGACTTTCAGACAACCCTAGGCACTACCTATATTTAGTGAGAAAAAAAACCGGAGTCCTAAGAGGTCGTCCCAAGCCTCACAGCAGTGCCAAGTTGTAAATCCAGGTCTGTCTGTTTTCAAAGCTGTGGGGTTTCCCAGCAGCTATACTGATGGGCTGGTATCTTATCAAGTTCCAGCTCTGTGAAGGCAGGGAGTGGGCCACATTCTTTATACATTCTAGAAGCATCTAGTTGGTAGAATGTACACATCCTTTATACATTCTGGAAGAATCTAGTTTGTAGAAAGTGCTCAACTAATGCTTGTGGATTGGCCTGGATAGTATCAAGCAGGAGTCAATTCTGGAAGGTTCCCTAACTCTCCCACGAGGCCTGAACCAGGGAACCATTTCAGGGTGGAACAGGACTACTCAGGATCAGTTTGGGAAGACTGGAATCTAGGGAATTCCCTTTCACTGTCCCTTTTAACCTCCCCTCTCCCAAATGTGTCAAAACTGTCAATGAAAAGTTTGCATCTGTTCCTTATTTTATCATCCAATGGACATTTTAAAACCTGACTGCTGCCCTAAAACCCCGTGAGAAAAAGCACACAATCCTGGCCCTGTGAAATTTACATTCTAGGGGGGAGGTGAATGGTAATCAAGTAATCAAACTAATAAATGGTAATATGTGGCTCTGACAAGCGCGATGAAGGAAATGCCATGAGATGCTATAAAAGGCAAGTCTGACCTACTCAGGGAAGTCAGGGCAGCCTCTTTTGAGGACCTGGGGCTGAAGCAGGGAGCCGAAGGGGAGGAGTTAGGCCCTGGGGGGAGTGTGTGAGTCCTCGAGATAGGTGAGTAACCACGGATCATCAGCATAATTATAA